GGTAAAATAGAAGGTCAACACAAGCGAGGGGGACTGGCACACTCGCTGCAGCCAGGGGCTCAAGCACCACAATTATGAAGATGGCGCTCGCAGGACCAGGCAATGTTTCCTGCCACCGTACGGAAATCGGAACTGACTGGACAGCACTTAACAACACCCACCGTTCTCTCTGGTGAATTGGTGGAGCACGTTTTGCCTGAGCTGCAAAGTAGATAGACATTTCTAGAATCACGGTTAAAAACGGGCGCTGCCCAGGTGGGAGGGAAGGGCACCAGGACGGGTGGAGGTGAACTCCCAGGCCAGGGCCCAGGTTGGAACTGGGCCAGTTGGGGACCCAAGCCCCAGGCTCTGAGGGAACAGCCCCCTTGTGAGTGAGCATCCAGGCAACAGAGATTAGGACTGAGTGCCCCAAACACAGCAGTGGCCACTCAGGGCACAAGGGCTCACCACCCAGTCATCTACCAGTCAAAGGGCAACTCTTCTTATACCTGTTGGCCTTGAATGCTGAGAGCAACCCAACCATTCAAATGGTTATATATAAAGTACTTTTTTGCACCTCCCTCAAAGATAGCAGTCCTTTCTTCATCCCAGTCCCCTTGGCCCACCATCACCCCCCAAATGATCTGTGCCAAGATGAAGAGGAGGCCCCAGGGCACAGGAGGGCACTGGTAGCCATGAGCGGTGGGTTGCTACCTTGCCCAGGGCACAGGGTGGGCCAGTATTTGGTGCCTCTTCTCCCTGTGGCCACTTTCCTTGTTCTGGGAGAGCTACTGAATTCTTTGGCTCCTGAGCCCAAGTGTTTTGCTTTCCCTGCACTTTCTGAAGGCCTCCCGTTGTTTACAGATGGCCACCAGCTGGGGGCGGTCTGCCTTGGCTGCCTCTCTCTTCCCAGCTGAATGCACTTTCTTACCTCCCAGCGGGTCTTCACATTTTCATCAGAGTGGCTCTTCTGAGCGCCTGGGCATAATTCCAGAGGGTAGAACAACCATTTCCTTAACCTGCCTTAGAAGGAAGCACCTGACTAGTCTCTGGGGCCTCAGGGATGGTGGAGGACGACCGCTGGCTAGACTGGAGCTTTCCCTTCTCGCCTGTGCCTGATTTAGTGACTACAGGACCTGCCGTTTGTTCAATGTATAAAAAAAATCTCAGAGCTTGCATGTTCCTTCCACTTCCTATTCAAGATGGATTTGAAATTGATGAACTGTCACAACTGGTGCCGGTGACCTCTTTCCCTCTTCCTCTTTGTCACATTCAGTAGTGACTGTAGTGAGCTTACAAACTCATTGTCCCCCCCCCCCATCATTTTATTCCCTATCATTTTACTGGGGGCTCTCACAGCTCTTATAACATTCCATACATCAATTGTATCAAGCAAATTTGTACGTATGTTGCCATCATCATTTCCAAGACATTTTCTGCTTGAGCCCTTGATATAAGCTCTTTTCCCCCCTCCTTCCTTCACCTGTATCCTTGATCAATTATATATTGTTATTTCATATCTTACACTGTCCTTCACCCGTATTTCCGTAATTTGTCCCCTTTGTGAGGGTGAGGGGGCTGTATATTAAATCTTGTGATGGGTTCCCCTTTTCTCACCCTTCCCCCTCCCTGACCATCCCCTTACTTACCCTCATGATATAGCTACTCCCATTACTGCTCCTGAGGGGTTTATCTTTGCTGAATTCCACATGTTGAGAGCTCCCATATGTACCAGTGTATGTTCTCCGGTCTAGTCAGATCTGTAAGTTGGAACTGGGTCATGGTAGTTGGGGAGAGGAATATTCAGGAACTAGAGGAATGATGTGGATTCATCAGTGCTATACTACACCTTGGTTGAATTATCCCTTCCTTATACCACTTCTCTGGGGGGGATATCCAATTATCTACAGATGGACTTTGGGTCTCCACTCTGGCCCCCCTCTTTTGCATAGAGATAGAGGTTTGTTTTGGATCTTTTGTACCTTTTGCCTGATCCTGTTGACACCTTGTGATCACACCGGCTGGTGTGCTTCTTCATGTGGGCTTATTTGCTTCCCTGCTAGATGTCTGCTTGTTTAACTTCAAATCTTTAAGACCTTTTAATAGCTGGGCACCATCTCCTTTCTTCACCACATTTGTTCATGCACCCATTTTGTCTTCAGCGATTGTGTCCGTAAGGTATCAAAGAGTGCCAGGTTATCAGAACAGTGTTCTTGTGTTAAGGGAGGTCTTGAGTAGAGGCCCAAAGTCTGTCTGCTATCTTAATACTTACCTAAATGAGTTAGTTTATTGTGCCAACCTGGCCGATAAACATGTGGGGTTAATTGAAGGGTGGAGGGATAAATGACTCGATGAGCCTTTTCTTTCTAGTTCTCAGGTCTCTTGCTTTGTGAAGGTCACACCAGGGTGCAGCTGCTTTTAGCAGTTCCCTGCTTCAGATTGGAAGGCTGACTTTCTGTAAGACATCCCCAAGGAGAAGCCACATGGACCTACCCTGATGCAGCCCTGGGTGCTGGAGCAGCCGTGTGGAGACCCCTG